ATGCCCTGTAGGATATTGTTTTGGGTACAGTGCTATATGCTAAGGAGCTCTGCCTTGTAGCATGCTCTACAAGAGTGTATATATCACTTTATGCATTTACTTTGAACATCTTCTTTTTATTTATTCATATTTTTTGGAAAATGACGTTTTCCTGCCAGCTAAGAACTGTTGGATGGATTCTCATACTTGAATGTTGCATTCATGAGATTTGAAGAGAAGCATTAAACGCTGAAGACAGTGTGCTGAGTTCTAGTAAAACTTACAGTGCAAGTTCACACAATTTGCATGAGCATGATTAATTTTTCAGTTAATGATCCTGTTTGTTATGCTTACAAATTCCACATGTGTTTTGTATGCAGCACACAAGCAAACAAAATATACATATGGCAGTGCTGAAAAAGCATACGTATATGCAGTATGTTTAAGGCTTTTGAATGGAATTCCTGGGAAATTTGCTTGGTAGTATCATGGGCAAATACAAAATATCTGCAGGGGCCAGCTCTAAGCTAACGTGGTTCCAGGCAACTTGTCAATTGCAAGGAAGAACAGTAAAGTTACACACTTCAGAAGGTATCTTAGGAACAGATAACCATGTGGCAAAGCTGCATTCGTTTGGAATATTACCAGAAAGAGAGAAAAGTGCGCAAGCATAATCAAATATTTGCTCTGCTGTGTATTGTATGCCTAATGGACCACGCAAGATTTTACCAGAAAATCCTATTTCACAAATGTTTTAAATCCACAAATGCCTGGTGATGACATAGCCATAAAATACAGCTTTTAAAAATCCTCTATCAAGGGGATAGGTTCTCTGATGCATTATATCAGCAGCATTGATTTAAACAATGAAGAATTGATTATTAAATTGGATTCCAAATTGAGCTCTATGAGTAAATCCAGATCTGCCCTCAATCCTCAGTTTGAGCTGAAAGATCTGGACTGTGTTTGGTTTGGGAAACAACCTCTGGTTATTTGGTGAGGTCCTGCTGCCACTGTTAGAGATGTCGTTTACATAAAATTAAATTGAAAATGAATCCAGGCAGGGTTTAAGAGAAATCAAGTTTGGCTGCATGGAATGTACAGGATATAGGTATCCTTCCAGCACCGCCTTTTGTAACACACGTGTTTCTAACACCTTGATGTGTGTTTAATGGTTAAATTTAGGAAAATACTTTTCTGTATCAGTGGAGAATGACAGCTCTCAAAACTTTACATTTCCACTGTTGCAGCTACCTTCCTTCTCAGTGCTAGCTCTGACAGACCACAGAAAGGGAAGACATGGAAAGGTCAGGGATGAAAAGACAAAACTACAATGTGCCAATAGAGCACATTGCTTCCCAGAGCCATGGGCTATCGTGCAGGTGGAGAAATTCCACGAGTTCCACCAATACCAGTGGAGCTTCCCAGCTTCCACTCCTTAAGACCACAGCGTGCATGTTTATTACACAATTTCAGCTCTGGTTCTTGCACTGGTTCTGTAAAAGCTCCTCTCAAAGGTAAAGTCATCAGTGTGATCTCCTCCCGTAACCTGTCACCTTTAGATGTAGAGTGCATTGTCTGTGACAGCTGGCCGCATCAAAACTGCTTGTGTGACATTTTGCTGCGTGAATCAAGTCTTTTAACAGTTGGTATGTGGTATTTGGTTGCAGTTATGTTTGTTGCACAAATTTTAGTTTGCTACATTCAAAATGCTTCCCCTCCTTTCTTTGGGTTCGTGTATTCCCAGCTCCTCTGTGCATGCTCTTATTCAAGAGAAAAGGTAGAAAGTCTTTTAACTAATATGGTTTGTTGGCATGACCATGACCCCATGCTTTGGGTGGGAAACTCTTGTTTTGTAACACCAATAAAGCAAAAGCTGCCATTCTTGGTATCCCAGGCAAGACCAGATGCTGCAAAAACTGACTTACCCCCTTAGAAAGGGTAGCCTTACTCCTGTTGGGAGCTGTAGGAGAGAGTCTAGTCCTGCCAGCCCCTCCTTTCATGCACCTCTAACAGGTAAGAGTGACCTTAACCCAGATGAAAATCTGGTAATCAGAAAGGTTTTATTCATCTTTGCTGAGCTCTGGATCAGTTTGGCATGAAGAGCCCCAGGGACCTGCTCTGGTGTGGTATAACCAGTCCCATGGTAGCTTGGGGAAATCTACCCTTCTCCCTGAGAAGCAGACAAACACAGTGGACCTTTTGGACTTCTGCTCATCTCCAGGTGTGTGTTGCCAGTGCTTTGCCATGCATAGTGCTTTGGTAGCAATACAAGACTCTGCCAGTGTTGAAAGACAGGAACTCATTCCTGACCCCATGAGTCAACCTCCTATGTCATGGAGCATGTGGTTTTATCACCCTTGCTATTATTTTACCTTTCAGCTGAGTAGTTACAGGTACCATTAATCTATAAAATAGATGTAGGCAGACAGGAGGACGTCATGTAAAGTCTGCAGAGACACGAAACCAACAGACACAAAAAAAAGAAAAAAGAAAAGCCAGCTTGGAAACATGACCCCCACTTTTTAGACTCGTGTTCTCCAGGAAAATGATTTATTGTTGGCATGTACCCATGTCACACTGATACTCAGGACAAACTAAAAGTCACAGTAGTCACTCAGGCCCTTGCTTCTGTCATTGTATTTTCAGATATTTCAAGGAATGAGGTAATGACTTTAAGATCAAGGTCATTTTCAGCTGCATCAATTATTTCACTTTCTCCTGGCAAAAGCATCTGCATACCTCTGCACAATGCTAACTACCAGGCGAACGTTTCCCTGGAAAACCTGTTCTCTGCCATACAGAGTGCCTGGTTCATACATTAAATTAGTTTAATCATTTAAGCTTTTACTATGTAACTTAGAACTGGCATGCAGGAACACTGCATGTTACCAATTTAATGTATTTAAAACAAATTTAAGTTAGTTCCAATGTACTTAGTCACAGCTATACAAAAGAGAGACCCCATATTTCAAATAACAAGGCTTCAGCAGAGAGATGACGTTAGTGGTGGGTAATAAGCTGAACTATCTATCAAGATATCAAGTATGAAACAGATGGTGGAAAAAAATGGACCAGGTACATTTACAAGCCTTTTAACATGATCACCCATTTAATACACCGCAAGGTCACAACTTGATGTCTTAGACATGCAGTCTCCTCTTCAGCTAGAAATGAAAGCAGGGTTTAAAAAAACAGGAGTGTTACAGAAGACTTTGTGGGGTTTACCCAGTGTTTCTGGGAAGGGAAAATGGCCCATCATCAAACCTTACAGATCTTTGCTTGCCAGCATCAGGTCTTGAATACATGATTTGTAGACCTGCATCCATTGATTCCTCCAGTGGTTCAGTACATTAGGAGTGATTTGCTGTAACGATTCAGCTCTGAAAAATTTATTCCCTTCCTTTAGGACAATAATTTTGTGGGTTGGGAATGTTCTTGGTTGTACCTTGTTTTTTTATATTCATAAAGATCTGGGGTTAATCAGTCAAATATTCCTATCTCCTATGTGTTCAACCACTGTAACTCAGTCATGTAAATGAGTGCTTACCAGCTGGCCATGAAGGCCATCCCTCTCCTTAATTTGTGGGGGTCTCTTTTACACCCCATTCTTGAATTCTGACACAATATAACCTGGCTATGCACATACTTTTACACAGCATAGTTTAGAATGTTAAAGAGCCTCTAGTAAAAGTTACACTTTTAGTTAAAGCCTTCATTCTGGTAGCTGGGGAATTGATGTCAGATGGAAAATGATTTCCCAATGGCTTGGGCTTCTAGCAAAAGTCTTCAACTTTTATGTAGATAGTCTTTGAAGTTAGAAATTGTTGTTAGACTATCAAATATTGTTTGAGGTGTCACTCATTTTTTTTCTCTTCCCATTATGGGAATGGGATCTTAGCAAAGAATTATTGTGGTAGAAAATGAATGTATGACTGACACTGGAAAAAAAGGTGTTTACGGGGCATATACAAGGGGAATTGTTGTGGAATCTGGACCTGTCAATATATCTCGGTTAATTCTCCAAGTGTCTGGTTTCTCACTCAAAGAAGGCAGGGTTAAACCTCCAAAGGCACAATAATTGAATATGTCATCCATGGTGTGGAATATTTTCTGAAATATCTTTCTGCTGGTGTAATTTCATGTTGCTGATTTATCTGAGTCACACCCGTTGTTTGAAACAGGGGGTGTGACTGCCTTTTGGGCTGTAGTTGGCTCCATCTCCCTAGAAAAATACACTTCCTTTCCCTGTTTTCTGGCCAGCTGTGCTGTACACGATCTCTGGCCTCCCACCTCCTGTTTTCTGGCCCTGCGCAACTCTTCCACCACCGTTTTTTGTCTGAAGAAGAACTGAGCATGGCTTGGGCCGATAGGTGGCACACAGGGAGCTTTTAAGTAGGCTGAAAAAAAAGGATACAAAGAGAAAATGAAAATAATAATACTCCAAATACCACGGAAAAGTTTCCAGTTCTGGGTTAGTTGGGTTTTTTCCCCATCCTCTGGCTTTGTATTTTTTCCTTTGCTTTTGAAATTCCAACTGGGTCTTGCTATCCAAATGAGTCATTAACACTATACTGCGTGTCCAAAAGTGAATACGATCCTTCTGTGCAAATATCTACATGACACAGTGCCTTAAGTACTTCTGTCACGTGCATTGCTTTAGCATCTCAGGCCAGATACCAAAATTCCACTCTGCTAGCTAAACCCTCCTGTCCTAAAGAGCTCACCAGTGAAGTATGAAATGAGAAATCAGATTGTACAGGCAAGCAGAAGAGTACAAGTTAAAAATGGAATAGTGGTAATCAGCATGATAGACCTTAAGAATATTTGAGTTAAACAACAACAACAACAAAATCAAAACTGAGTTTTAGGAGCTTATAAGTTACCCTATTGCAGCAAACATCTGAAGATTTACAGGCTCTAGGGAACATTCAGTTGCGCTGAAATCCTTCAAAGAATGATGGTTTGGATTTTTACCAGTGTTTCAAACTATCTTCAACATCTTAATCCTTCCTAAATAGAGCTGGATCTTAAAGCAATACCTCCAGGAACAGAGGGTTTGATGACCTTTCCTTTGACTGCTGGACTGTTGGACTCTGATGGCCAGTAAAAAAAATGCACAAGCCACTCAGTCACATAATGGAGATGCTTAAATTCAGACCGACCACGTCATGACAGGAGAGATGTATAGAGGCTAGCTTAAATCTAAAAGAAAACCTGGGTCTGGGTAATATTATCCCCGTAGAACCTGAATCACAAATACTCAAGTGCAGTGCTGGAGTATTCATGCCATCCTTGGTGAGCCTCCTTGGGAGGGAGTGCAGCCAGGCTCTGTGTATTTTCACATCTCTAAAAGCACAGGAGACAGTCAATAAAAAAGGGATGGCTGTCTTGAGATTACCCCCCCCTCCTCTATGTTCTGAAGGCAACAGAACAGAGTGGATAGCGAGCAACCTGCTTGCCTTGGGTGCAGATGGCTTTAATTGTCATTCCCAGATGTTCTGCCTCTTGAAGGTCAAATTCACCTTGTATAAATCGGGCTGGAACCATCCAGAGAAAGCACAGACATTTTATTTGAAAAAATGTAATAAAAGTATGTCCTTCTTTCTTGTTATTTCCTTCCTTGTAAATTTAAAGGGAACAGATTGAGAGGGAGGCCTGGCTGGCACAGGTCATTGTTATGGGATATAGGGCTTTTGTCTGGAAGATGCGTGTTCAAATCCTGCTCTGTGGTGAAAATATTGTTATATTTTGGCTGGTGTAGCTCAGCTGTTAGTATTAGTCCAGGATTTTCGCTGCTGCATTTGACAGCATCACTTTTTAAACATGGCAATACAAAAGCCATGCTCAAAAAAGAATTGTTAGATGAAGCATTAGTTATGTCAGGACATGTGTCATTAAGGCCAGACATGAAAGGAAATCAGTGACACCTTTGCCTAGTCTCTGCTTGTTTTGTAGTGGTGTAGGTCACTTTGGTCTTCAGACTGACATGTTGTGCATCTCTCACAAATGTACCAATGTCCATCCTTTACTTTGGCTGTTCATTTCTCCGCCTAGTCCTGTAGGAAGTCTGGTTCCTCAACTCACTCCATTGGGGTTGAAAACCTTTCTCTTCTGTCCAGCATAATTTATTAGTAGATAGACATACATTCACTTGGTTTTGTGTCAATAATGCACAGTGTATTTTTTAAGTGTACTGTAATTAGGTGGAAACATACTGTTATGTCAGGCATCACCAGATGGGGCTTTTACACATAGTCTGCAAGGCTCCTTTTTTTTTGGTAAGCGCATGTGCAAGCTTTGGCTCTGGGGAGGACGTACTGCAGAGCTGTTTTCAGTTATTTATGCATCTGTAGAGGCAGCTTCGGAAGCAAGACTGTTGAGTGAGCATTAAGATGTTATTTTTCTTGAGCTTGGATTAGAATCAGTTATTGAGACAGGAACAAAACTTCAGGTTTAGATGTTCTCAGATGTCTCAAACAGCACCAAGCAGGGAGAGGCAGCCAGAATTACTAGAGATCTCTTAAAATCTCAAACATAACCTGTATTTTTCCAAGATGACTGTGTATTCCCATATTAGCTTACTGCAGATACAAAAGGAATGAATTTTTAGGATTTCAGCCTTATTGTTTGATGGCTTCTTTGGGCAATTTTGGAAGAAAGGAATGAAGATTATACATGTGATAAATGTGAATTCTAATGGAGAAACAGCTAGAAATTCTAAAGATGATTAATTAAAGGAAAATTAAGATGCCATTAAGCAACTGTTCAGGGTAATTTCACACTGGAAAATTTACAGATTCAAACACAGCACTTTGTAAATATAAGCCATGAGATGAATAGAGAATTTTTATGTGTGACATTTATTCCCTTACTTTTCTTGTGGACTGAGATATTTTGCCTCCATGATCTCAGAAGTTTTGAAATCCAAAATACCTTTGATTCATATTCCCATACTTTATGCTGCAAGCAGAGATGGTTGGAATGAGACATTTGGTAGATAATTCAAGATAGTGAGAAAATACATCAAAGATCTGTTATGCACATCAGGTTCTCTACTGTAAGTTGTGTTCAAGGCCAGAATAGTTATTGTTTGCTGCATACAGAGATCCTAAAGTGCTGCCTGAATCCAGGGCTGGGGGAGTAACATGAAAAGCAATGAAAGTAAACACTGAAGATCTGGAGGAGACACCAATCTGCAGAAAAAGGGGTTTTATGCAATTTAATCATCATGGAGGTATCTGTGTGTAACTGAAACTGGGGCCAAGGTGAGAGTTTAGAGAGACACCTTTTAGATGTCTATCAGCTAGCACAATTGGGTTTGTTTTTCAAGTACTTGCTGCTTATTCACGTTTCACCCCTGGTCTATTTTTTGCATTGGTGAATGAATATTTGTGCAGGTTATTTGCTGAGAAGGAATGGTTTGGCTGCTATTGAAGGTTGAAGTTGTGGGTCTGTGCAGTGCAGTGGATACTTGAGTGGGGTCAGTGTAGATGAGAATTGGATTAGAGGTTTGGGAATTAAAAAAAGGAAAGATAACCAACTGCTGTCTTACTGTTCCTTTATGCGTTCATGTGGTGAACTCTAATGCTTGGGGTAGAAGCTTGCTCATGCCAGTTTGTCCTCAGGGCAGAGTGTTTACCATGAACCCTAGGTTCTTTTTATCAGCTTAGGGGTATCTCTGTCTCCATCTGGAGAGGTGTCGTTGAGTATGGTAGTGCATATGGTAGTATAGGAGTGCTGGTGACAGCCTAAATCAAGAGTCAAAGTAGTCAGTGAGTGGCCACTGCATACAGACTGCACACCATGGTTCTTGTGGTCACTAACACTTTGTAGGGGACAGCTTTATTCTTCGAGCTGTTTGCATATGCTAATGCCTTTGCTGAGCCCTAATTACTTTTATGTGTGTTTTAATAATTCACTGGAAAAGAAAATCATAGAATCATAGAATAGTTAGGGTTGGAAAGGACCTTAAAATCATCTAGTTCCAACCCCTCTGCCACAGGCAGGGACATCTTACGCTAAATCATATCACCCAGGGCCTTGTCCAACCTGGTCTTGAACACTGCCAGGGATGGAGCATTCACAGCCTCCCTGGGCAACCCATTCCAGTGCCTCACCACCCTAACAGGAAAGAATTTCCTCCTTATATCCAATCTAAACTTCCCCTGTTCAAGTTTGAACCCGTTATCCCTTGTCCTGTCACTACAGTCCCTAATGAAGAGTCCCTCCTGAGCATCCCTATAGGCCCCCTTCAGATACTGGAAGGCTGCTATGAGGTCTGCACGCAGCCTTCTCTTCTCCAGGCTGAACAGCCCCAACTTTCTCAGCCTAAAAATGTTTAAGCCACAGTCATGCAGGCTAGCACAGTAGTTCCGAACATCACCAGATTGGAGTTCAATTTTTTTGCATGGCTCACCTCCAGGCTCAACACTAGTCCCTAAAGTTCCCCAACATGTTGGCACAATAATGGTGAAGCCACCATGAGGATACTTTAAACAAGGAGAAAAAGCTAGGATAGAAGGAACTAATAAGTACACAACAAAACTGTTCTGCTCTGCAGTGTGTTTGAGGGGGATGAAAAAAAATAAAAAAATAAAAAAAATAAAAACCCCAAAAGAAACAGATGTATCTGCCAGAAGTTAAATACACATCTGTTAAGGATGCTCTTCTCATATTTGGGGTCAGAAAAATATGTACAAATGTAGCACCTTGCTGATTGACAGAAAATCCTCAGTTCTGGCACTGAGAATCTTGTTTTCTTGACAGCACTTTGTTTTAAGGCTAGAGGCAGAAAAATGTCTTATGCTTGTCCTTAAACTGGAAGGCCCTTTGTTCAGGATACTTATACCATTTGCAGATAATGATGTGCATTGCAGTTTCAGCTGTCTGCATATGCATTTTTATGTTTTTTTATGACAGCTCTGCGTACTGAACTAAAAGGCCATTTAGAGCTGTCAGGAAGTGACAAGCATTACCCTTTACATTTACAATTCTGTTAGCATGCGTTGTCAGGTGGGCTCACCATTCCACCGACATACGATTTTCTTTGAAACCTATGTATGACTTTAATTTGATACAGCAGTCTCCAAAAAAATAGTAAAAGAAAAAAAGAACCTTATTAAGATTTCCTTTTCCATTTATCTACTTTTTTTTTTCATGTGGTTCTTTTTCCCCTCTTCTTTTCTTTTTGCTGTTTCTTTAAACAAGAAACAGGGAAAGAGACAAAAGTAGCTGTCTAGCCTGGAATACTGCAGCAAGCTCCTCCATTTCAGCCTGTGATGTTCCAGAGAAAAGAGTTGATTTTTAGTCCATTGACTTAGGAAAAAATGCTACCAGCATATGCTAAATATTGAACCAACTTATGAAAGTAGAAAGATCAGAACACCTGTAACTTACAGTCTTGACATGAGCTGCAATAAATGTATATGTTTTATTTATTTCTTTTTTAGCTAGCAATTTAACAATCCAGCTGAGCCCAGGTTCCATCCCAATGGGTCAATTTTGAATGCACGCAGAAGGAGTTGTCCCACAGGCTACTTTCTGTTGGTTCACATTGTTTTCTCATAGCTGCAGTGTACCTAACCTTCAAAGGTCCTCTTTAGCTTCCAAAAAGTCACTCTCCCCCAACTGCATTTTGACAAGGAACTGTTTTATTAACGGATTTAACAAGATTCCACCTGAGAGACTCCCTGTCTTGGAAGCACCAAACATCAGATCCAGTCTCTCTTCTGATGAGTGTGCAGTCCAAGTAGGTGCATACTCAGAGGGAAACAGAGGCACAGAGCTATAAGAAAGGTTCAGCTTTATTCTCAGCTGGAGAGAAAGTGGTTAGGGGCATCCAAGTGACAATTAAAGCAACAATCACCATGTGAACAGATTTTTGGCTGTATTTTTTTTATGGTGATGATACAGATATATTATTTAACTGCTGACAGTATGTTCAGTCTCTCACAAGCCCCGGCAGAAGATGTATCCCCAAAGAGCTTGTAGTCCAGGCAGTGGCAACTGCCTGTATCTCATCCCCTGGATTGCACAGATTGGTGTGATGGTTATTGAGGGGTGTATTTGACAGACTCATACCACTTCAGATAGAGTCATCAGTACTGTGTGGCTGGAAGGAGTGGGTAATATTAAAAACAACACAAGTATTTTTCATGCCAGGGTTTCAGT